ACCTATAAGAATGCTATCTAATTTCTACATATTTTGAAATTCCTACATTTTTAATTGATTCTTAGTTTTATTTCATGATCCATTGAACATATTTCCTTAACTCTAGTCCTTTACTGATTGAGGCCTTTTTAAATTATCATACATTTATCCTCACCTGGAGAATGTTTCACTTGTTTTTGAGAACTATGTATATTCTACTGATATTGGGTGAGTTATTCTGTAGACATCTATTAAATCCAGTTAGTTTATAGCTCAAATCATCTGTTTCCTCTTTGAGTTCTGTTATATCTGTTATTAAAAGTGATATGTCAAAAATTCAGCTTATTGCTGTTGAATTGCCTGTTTTTCTTCAGAGTTCTGTCCATATTTATTTTATGCATTTGGAATTCTATTGTTGTCTTCCCTAATGAATTGACATTTTTATCATGATAAAAATATACTCTATTTCTCTCAAGTAACAATATTTGTCTTAATGTCTGTTTTGTCTGATATTAGAGTTATTAGTATAGCCACTCCCACTCTGTTTTACCCATGATGTTATTGCTTTCACAAAAAAAAATAGCGCATTTTGAGAGACTTGAACAACAATCATTCTGTAAAGTAACATTTTCATTCTTAAACACCCCTCCACATTATTTTTGTTCATTTTTTCATTTTTATAGATTTTCTATCTCATCTGTTTCCAAAGTTACCTTTTGGAGATGCTATGATACTAGGTGAATTTGTTTGCTTTGATTCCTGCATGAGATTAATTATCTCTGGGCATATTGAGTCATACTGTAGTTCCTTTGCTGTCACATCTTCAAGATTTTTATCTTAACTCCTTTTTTTAAAAACACTTTCTCAATCATTTGTTACTTAAAGAAAAATCTTGGCCAGAAAGAAAGCTCAGTGGGCTGTGCACATGCTTAGCACAGAGAGGCCCAGATTCAGTCTCTGACTTTGCACAGTCCCATAAGCACCATCAAAGCAGATTTCCAGGCACAGAAGCATAAAACCAGAAATCATGCTGGATTCTGACACCATGTGGAAAGAGCATCCAATTCCACAGGTTAGGGGCTTGGCCACCCATTTCTGTCCTCCTTTTCAAAAGCTAGTCATAAGTCCAAGTAATTACCTGCACTTCTGAACAACTGGTGGTAGAATTGGAAGTTCTTCGGACCCCTTGCTAAGATTTAGTTCATTTAGTGATAGTTAATTTGCTAGAATGACTCACAGAACTTGGAAAACCTACTTACTCACTAGATCACCAATTTACTGCAGAGAGGAACAGCCAGACGGAAAAGATATAGAGTAAGATATGAGAAATGGATGAGGAGTTTCCATGCCCTCTCTAAACAGACACCGCATCCCCCCCAAAATCTTTGCCTGTCTTTCAACCTTGAAGCTCCCTGAAGCCCCTCCACTTGGGCTTTGTTGAGCTTCATTACCTTCTCTAGGCTGATTTACTCATTGGCAATTGGCCATTGAGAGCCTGTCTCCCCTCCCTAGTGGTCTAGGGGAGGGACTGGAAGTTCAACCCTTAGTGTTACCAAGGTGGCCTTTGAAGACAGCAGCCTCATCTTTGGTTGCTTCCCAAAGTCTCCTCATTCACATAACAACAGACACCATTAGCAGCACATGCAGGAGTCTAAGGCTTTAGGGAGCGCATGAGCTGAGCCAGTCAGGAGACTGGATGAAGACCAAAGGTGTATAAGAAATATACTTTGGTCATCTGAGTGACTAAATATAGTCAGATATAAATATATGACTAAATATATAATACATTTATATCGTAAATCATATAAATATAAACTACTTCCCTTTTTCCTGATAAAACCATGACAAAACCTGCTTAGAGAAGAGACTCCTGGCATCAGAATTGTAATTTTATTCTGGGGTAAGAGGGCAGGAGAAGAATGAAGTGACTATTCATGAAGTCTTACCCGAAGGAAAATGTATTTTTATGTGGGATTTTAAAAGTGGTTTGGGGAGTAAATGTAGAGTCTAGACAAAGCAGTGGGACCCTAAGGAGTTTTGTGAGGGAATCTGTCTCAGCTGTCTCCTGGGAATCCCCTTTTCCATTTTTGCTAGTCTGAGAAGGCAGCAACACAGTTAGTGTTGAGGATCACACTCAGGGCTTCTGGCCCCAGTGAGAGGAGTCAAAGCTAAAATCCAATCCTCTGAATTATTTTCACGTGTCCATTTGGAGGATCTGCAATGATCATCTCCCATTTGGCCATGTTTTTATCATTATTTTTCTTAGACTGCTCTATCCATAGTACGCTTGTGGGTATTGAGAATTTGAATGTGGCTGCAAAAGTTAGATTGTCAAAGGATAAGATTTGTGGCAGGAAATCACAAGAAGCACCACACAACTTTACCCTACATGAGGCTACTTTGCAGTCCCTTCTATTACTTAAGGTAAAAAGGTAAAGGCCGTCCCGTTGATCGTCGATTTGCTTGAGCGGGCCCAGTAACGTCTCCATTGGAGACTTTGTTGTTACTGTGTCTGGCATATCGAATACTCTCGGTAGCTTGCCGGGCTCTCCGAGAGGGGCGGAGGAATCGAACTCGGTTCGGCCATGTTGGCCGCTTGTAAGGCGAACGCCCTACCGCTGTGCTATCGCTTTCTATTACTTAAATACTATGCAAAAGAGAGATACTACAACCACTTTAGTAAGGGGGTCACATCCAGCGGGCTCAGAACTTACTCCTGGCTCTGTACTCAGGATTACTCTTGGTGGTGTTTGGTGAACTGTATGTAGTGCTGGGGATTGAATCCAGGTCAGACACATAAAAGGCAAGTAGCCTACCCACTGTACTATCTCTCTAGCCCCCCCAAAAAAATTGCTTCTTAAATCAGGAGTTTGGAAGAGAGCAAGCAGGGTCTTGGATAAACAAAGACCAGGAGAAGGCCATTTGGAAGACACATATTGTCTCCAGTGGGTCTCTCTCTTTTTCAAATTGGTTTTATTTTCTAAAATCTATAACACAATTATCTGATTTCAGATAATTCCCAAAGTTGCTTCTATCTTTGGTGTCCTTGGATTTTTTTCAAGACAACCTCTTAATCTTTTGGACAGAAAACACAAGAAATGAAGCCTTGACTTCAGAGATAGAGCTCTGAGCACATAGAAGATTCTGTCTTTGCAAATGCATGTGGTCCCAGAGGCTCCATGTTATTTCCTGTTCATGGTTTTCAGTGGCTTGGAGTAGAAGGCAATCCACTGCTATGATGGGGGCGGGGGAGGGGAGGGATAGGATGTATTGTGTTGTGTAAGAAAATACTAGTGTTGCCCAACCCAATCATCTGATCTTCAAACCAAGGCATAACCCTGGAACATGTTGCCAGTGATTGAGCATTGAGCATAGCTTTACTCTAGGCTCTAAAAGCATTTTTGAAAAGGTCACTGTCTTTTTAACACAGTCTGTAAAGGGATATACATAATAACTTTTCAGTATCTGTACTGCAAAGCATAATTCCCAAAAGGAAAGAGAGAGAGTAAGAGAGAGAGAGAGAGAGAGAGAGAGAGAGAGGTTCCTACCATAGAGGTAAGGTGGGGGCAGGAGGGAAACTCAGGACATTAGTAGTGGGAAGTGAACACTGGTGAAGGAACATATTTGGATTAAAACCCAAGCATGAACAACTTTGTAACTGTGTATCTCACTATGATTCAACTAAAAATAAATTTTAAAAAAATTTAAAGTCACTGTCTACTTGCCGTTCATTCTTTGACCTATGAAATATGAATTTTTCTTATTTTTCATTTAAAGGCACCTCAATTATCAAAAGATGTTAGTTGTGGTGGAAACTTAGTATTTACCACCTATTGTGTGCCACGCTCTGTGTGAGGTGAAAAAAAAATATAGAGAAATATCCTGGAGAATTGATCTAGAGGGGGCATGGAAGGAAACGGCAAACATGAAGGACACTCATATCTATTCTTCAACATGCGCTTCAAGAACTTTTGAGCTTTTGCTAAGTGCACAATTCTGTGCTCAGTGTTGGGGATACAAAAATGAAAAAAGTACAGAACTCCCTGTGGTCCTGAAAAATATGTTCCAGTACAGTTTGGTTAACCTCTAATCAAAAGCCATTTCTGCCTACAAAGATGCACAGGCACAATTAGGATCCAAGAGCGCTTCCCAGTGGAGGTGACCTAGGAACTAGGTAATAGTGAAGTGAGAGAAAGGCTGAAGGAAAAGGTGAACAGTACTGGACAGAGAAAGTGCTGAGTTGTGTCTAGAACATGGGCAGAATGAATAGTAGGAAATGAGATCTGGAAAGATAGATGAATGAGGTTCAGCTTTGGAAAGATGTTTTATTCCTTGTTTAGGACCATGGACTTCAACAATAAGTGATAGAGAACCCACTTGAATATTTCATAATGAAGGAATTATTGCGTGAGATGCTGACTACTTAGGCATAAAGATGCTGTAACTGCATAATACCTTTTAAGTTAAAAATGAAACTGTGTCATAAATTGTCTGCTCACTGTGATTACTGGTACATAAAATGTAATTTTGGCTATAGCAGAGTACAGAGAGGAGGGAGAGAGATGTCTGAAAGTGGTCTAGTATTTGCATTGTGAAATTCCTAAAGAATCCCTTTATGAGATTCACTCGGAATTGAATCTCTAATATGCCACTGGTTAAGATGCCTACCTTCTGCCATCAGTCACAAAGAAACCTGATAGCTTTCATGCAGCTTATAGAGTGTGTCTGTATTGAAATTCTTGGAGTAGACAAACCCATAGAGACAGACAGTAGATCAATGGTTCCCAAAGAACTCAAGGAGGGGGAAGCCTGAAGTGACAGGGAATAGATACAGGTTTTCTCTTGGGACATGACAGGAATGTTCTGGAATTAGCAGTGGTGGTTGTACAACATTGTAGATATAGGAAAAGCCTCTAGATTTCACACTCTGGTCAAAAACAGTTCATTTTAGTTTCTGTGGATATTATCTCAAGAACGAATATAGGCTGATCAATGTTGTTTGTTTGTTTGTTTGTTTGTAGTTAAGGGCAACCGGAAGTGTGAGTTGAACTGCCAGGCCATGGGCTACCGCTTCTATGTCCGGCAAGCTGAGAAGGTCATTGATGGCACCCCCTGTGACCAGAACGGTACGGCCATCTGTGTGTCTGGGCAGTGCAAGGTAAGTGCCCTGCGTTGGTGCACGTGCTGAGCCTGGAGCGCAGGGTAGCTCGCGCCTCTGTGTATTTGCATCTCTCAGAGTGGCACACATTTCAGCTATTAGCTGAGTTCTGTTTCTAGCACAGGCTCCAACCAGACATAGCATCAAGCCTGGCTTCCTTCCCTCCTCTGACCTGGAGCTCAGGGAAATGGGCCTTGCCGGATCAGTCAAGAAATCACCCTCCGCCCAGGAGGCTGGCATTTGAAGGGCACCATGTATTTTATCTCGCCTCCCACCAGTTGGGGCAGGCTTCCAAATGAAAGTTGTTTCATGCCTTTTAGAGCAGAAGTTGTACTTTAAACAGGAAGCATTTGTAGCCTCCCTGGGCTTGTGAAGTTTGTTTTTTTTTGTTCCAGGAACTCCCCACCCTGCACTCCGCAAACATCCTGGGCTTGAGAGTTTGGGGGGATGCTAACCTTGGACAGCCAGCAGCGTTTGGTTAAAAATAAGCGTCTTAGATGTGATGGCATGAATTCCATCGCCTCATTAATCTGGGTCTGGTCATCTACCTCCTTTCATCTGTAAATGCATTAGCACAGCTAAGTCTCTCGTAGGTAAATGACTCGTTGAATCCCAGATGCTGTCTTAATTAACCCAAGGTAGTCAGCAGGACCGATTTTCATCAAAGGAAGATCACTTTGGCTATAACATCTGAAAGTTCCTGTTACACTTGGAACGTAAATTGCCACCGTATTTATGATGAGGATCATTTCATGATGACTTCTAAGTACCACCTTTCCCACCTCGCCTTTATTTTAATGAGGAGCTTTCACATAGGGCACAAAATCTCTTACAGAGCAGTGAGGATTGTCTCATTTGAAATGAAAATTAAGAAAGGCAAGGCTGGGATTTGATATCTGGTGTGTGTGTTGGGGGGTGGGGGACTTTGGAATAGACAAACACACAAATATTAGGGAGGAAATAGAAGAGGAGGAGAACATACTGGGAGCTGAAAGCATCCGGCTTCCAATTTCCCACCATCTTGGGGAACAGCTAGGCCTCATACACCCCACAGTGCAGGACAGACAGTGCTTGAGCGGGTTTTCAGAGGCAAGAACCTCCACCTCAGCTGGTCTGTCCCGGGTAATACTGGTCCTGAAATGTTGGGTTTTAGACAATCTAGTTTTCTTTCCAGGTGCTGAGTGTTTTTTTTGTTTGTGTTTTTGTTTTTCATAAAAACAGGTGCCTATGGGAAAACAGGTGCCTACGGGGAGGAGGTAGTGTCACGGTTAAATATGCTCTCTGACATCAGGCTCCCTGACCTCAAATCCTGCCCATTCAACTGATTTACCCCATACCTTTGTTACACCAGCCCCCAGCACCGCTCAGTATGCCTCCCAGTGTGGACAGCGCTGGCCTCCTGTGTCATAAAGAACAATTACTCATTGGTCACTAACACTTGTAAGGCCCTTGTAAGCACTCTGGCCCTTAGCAAGCCTGCGGATACTTTGCAATGCTGTGACTTTTCTGTCCAAGTATGTCTTGTTGTATGGAATTTTCTCTGTAGAAGTATTTGGCTTTGGGGTTTTATAGATTTTAGTCTTGAGAGGTTCGCATACTCTTTCGAGGTAATGGTTTTTCCCTGCAGTGGCAATCAGTTTTGGTAAGGGGATGTGGTTTGTAGATATGAGATGGGCAGGTCCAAGGAAGGGCCTGGGTTTTTCTGTCTGAGGAGCATCTGACCCTATGTAACACTGCCGCATGCCCATGCATTCATGCATCTTACCCAGAACAGCAAAAGATCAGCAGCCAGTTGGATTCTCTGTGGCGAACAGAGATGAAGAACTGTCTGTGGGCAGGGGTGGGAGGCCTTGTGGGGAAATGGAAGGTGGCCTCTTTCCATGGTCTCTTAGTGTGGTGTCAGATGTCTGTGCTCTGACAAGACAAAGGAACAGCAAACACAAGCACGTGGGTTGGATTCTTCCTGCAGGAGCGGAGCCATTCAAAGCGCAGGCCAACGCTGTTTGAAGATGACAGTTGCTAAAAGACTGAGCCAAACATTGTCAGGATGTGAGGACATTAATAGGAGTTTGCTGTCCCAGGACTGCTTTGATAGGGCTGCGTATTCCTGCTCTGCGCGTTTGCCTGCAGTTTGGTCGTAGAAGCTGTCAGAACCGCTGACCATCTCGTCCTCCTCAGCACTGTAGTTTAAACAACCAGAAGTACATTTGCTTCCCAGGCTGAGGTTTCTGTTTATTCTGCAGCTTTCAAAGAGTCAAGTGTCCTTCTCTGAATACTTGATTGGAAGCCCAGCTTTCCAATTGGTATCTCTGCCTCCCTGACTTGTGGCTGAGAAAACAATCACTGGAGAGCAGTTCTTGCTATCGTGTGTGTGTGTGTGTGTGTGTGTGTGTGTGTGTGTGTTTCTCTGAAATAGCTCCAGAGAACCTCCACTGCAGAGCTGAAAGGAGACCTCAGGCTTGCAATTGAACTTAATGGAAGATGAGAAGCATTAGAGACCAATAGGAGCTCACCCCTCTCTCTCTCTCTCTCTCTCTCTCTCTCTCTCTCTCTCTCTGAGTTCTGTGCCCTTTCCCATGGGCAAAGACCAGAGCAGTTTGCACAGTCTGTTCCAGCCAGCACAGTGCTCCAGCTGACCTGTAACCACCCTGTTCTCAAAGCACTTCTGTGTTTTGGATCCAAGAGTTGGAAGAAGAGCAGGAAGAATGCAGATATCCTGGTTCGGAGAGACAGTGCAGGGGATACAATGCTTGGCTTTGCATGCTATGACCCCAATTCTATCTGCAGCACCTCATGGTCCCCTGAGCACTGCTGGTAGCGAGCACAGAGCCAGGAGTAGCCCTTGGCATCCCAAGGGGCCAATAAGCGTAAGAGTTCAGATTGCAGACATCCTGAGGAGGAGGTGGGGTGTGGGGAGCTAGGAAAATGAGGTTCCCTCTTCTCTCTCTCTCTCTCCTCTCTCTCTCTCTCTCTCTCTCTCTCTCTCTCTCTCTCTCTCTCTCTCTCTCTCTCTCTCTCTCTCTCTCTCTCTCCATGCTGAGTGCACTTCTTTTACTTGGCAGAAACTGAAGGGTCCCAAATGCTGACTTCAGGTTAAGGGCTGCATGTATTCAGACTTGGAAGGGAAAGGGCTCATGCCCCAACTTTTCCTAAAGAAGAAACTATCTTGCAGTCTGAAGAGATTCTGCCTGTCCTCTGCAGGACCTTCCGTTTAGGCCAGAACTTCCTAAACTCACCGCATTTGCAACTGAGAAATTTCCGCCTGAGAAATTTTTACATGGTCTTTGGTATATAGGTATATAAAGGAGAATTACAGTTCAAACATTTACCTTTCATGAATCGTGAAGAAATTTTTGTTTGTTTGGAGGCCATGCCTGGCCGAGTTCAGGATTTACTCCTAGCTCTGTGCTCAGCGATCACTTCTAAGTGCTTGGTGAGACCAAATGTGGATGAGTCCTATGTAAGGCAAACACGTCCCCCACTATACTGTCTCTCCAGCCCAAAGAAAATTATTTTAAAACAACTTGGGTTTTTTTTTTTGGCCACACCCAATATTGCTCAGAGGTTACTATTGGCTCTGTGCTCAGGAATCACTCCTGGAAGGCACATGGCAACATATGGGGTTCAGCCAGGGATCAAAACTGGGGCAGCCGCATTACGGAAAAATGAAATTTTAAGATTTTTTTTACCACCCCTACATTTAGTCATGCCCCCTCCTGGGGTAGTGACCCGCAGTTTTAGATGTGAGGCTCTAAGTATCAAATAGGAGCCTCTGGCCATTCCTCAGAGTCAGCCTCATGCCAGTACACACCTTCACTCCACTGAAAGGCTAGAGGTGAAGAGAGAGCCCTGGAGTCGGGCCCTTGTCCCAAAGAGGGCAATTCACAACCTCAAGGAGTCAGGGTTGGTGCTGGTGCAAGCTGGCAAGGAGCTCAGCCTTGTGCCAGGCATATGCCATGTGCTTCACCACCTCAGCGACTTCCCAAGTTAGTTCACTGTCACCATATCCACGCGAAGGCTGACTGGTCAGCCCCAGTTTGCAGCAGACTCTGTCAAGAGGAAAAGTTTCTTTGTGTGTCTGCTGAGTTGCACAAACTAAGTCATGGGGGACTTGACTCTTCTTGTTGCTTCTTTAGGACAAGAGCTTTTATTTTAAATTAATTTATTTTTAAATTACAGAGTTGTTCATGATTGGTTTTCAGTCATATCTTGTTCCAACACTCATTCCTTCGCCAGTGTACATTTCCCACCACCAATGTCCCCGTTTTCCCTCCCACTCCCCCCCACCACCTCTATGGCAGGTACTTTTCTTCTTCTCCTCCTCGTCCTCCTCCTCGTCCTCCTCCTCCTCGTCCTCCTCCTCCTCCTCCACCTCCTCGTCCTCCTCCTCCTCCTCCTCCTCCTCCTCCTCCTCCTCCTCCTCCTCCTCCTCCTCCTCCTCCTCCTCCTCCTCCTCCTCTCGAGAAGTTAGTTCACTGTCTGAGACAGTCTGTCTGTCTGTCTTTCTGTCTGTCTCTCTCCTCCCTCTCCCTTTCAGGCATTATGGATTGCAATAAAAATACTGAAAGGTTATCAGATATAGCCCTTTACTTACTTGTAACACTCTGTCCTATCCAGTCTTCTTTAGATGAGCAGAGTCACTCCGTGTGCTGTAGGCTCACTCCTTTGCAAGTTTCCCTTCCTCACACCCTCTTTCCAAAACACACAGCACAACATGCCCCTCCTCTGATAAATCCCTTCTGAGGCTCCCCATTGCCTGTGAACAAGGTGCAGACCCTCTGTCAAGTAATGCATCTCAGATCCAATAAGTGCCAAGCGGGCAGGGTTGGGAGGTGGCACTCCTAGCCCCAGCATCGGTGGAATTAAGCTGCCCCCAGATGTGCATGAACTTTATCTACTCACAGCCTGCTCACCAGGTTGTACATAGCACCACAAGCCCCCGAGAGTCATTCTGTTTGTTTACCCCCAGACCCTGCAGGGAGTGACTACAGACACTTCCT